TTAGTATATTGTAAAAAGGAAAACGGTAATCGATTCTGACACCGTTTTATACATCTCATTAACTGCTGGCAACAACATTTTGCACAACATTAAATCTTAAATATTCAACAAACTGTAAACATTTCATTTATTTATTTGTTTTTCATGTGCACTCATCGTCTCTTCTATTGTCCTTTCAAATTGGAATCTTTGGACATTTTAAAACCGCGTGAACTTGTCACACGCCATACCGTTGATATGGTGTTGTGCGCGTGAAGCTTCGGCCTCATTTTGACCAAACTCTGGCGCGAGGTGAGATCGGGTCACGTGCTTGATACACAAGTTTACGCGTTCCTCCGCCTCAGGTGCGTTCGGGGGGTTAAAGGGAATTGTGACGACGTGTCTACTTCTCTATCTCCTCCCGAGTCACACAGGTATGCGTGCCGGCGTTGGACAGGTGTAGCGCGCTATGTGATAGCTAGAATTGACGATAACAACTAGCTTATACTGAAATTACCTCTGTAAAACTAGCGTCGATTGAACATTGATTACGAATTAACATCAAATTTACAGGCACCTGAAATGAAAATTATTACCGTTACACTGATAGGGTTACCTGTAATATAAAGACTGGTATCTAATCAAAATTGCTCTTATCTTGTTTAAATTTATCAACTTTCGTTATTTAAGACTTTCTCTTCAATACACCAGGGCTTTGTGACTCCACGATATTGGTTTTCTTTGGAAATGTGAATCTTATTTATCGGGCAGGTCTGAGCGGTAAGGGCACCATATTGTGGTCAGATACACTGCCTACCCTCCCCATACACACGCCTTGTTTCATTTGAATGACGTCACATAAAGTAGGGACAATAGCTACGGTTTTGACCGAACACGGGGACAGATTTCGTCCGTGTATGGCTTGAGATATGACCGACATTGATCATTCGCGTTAATCCGAAAATGCAAAATTGTGTTTTAACTTTCGCCTATCAAACCTTAATTAGAAAGATTTTTACCGCGAATTTGATATTGTTTTTATAAAAACATTTTGGTTTAGCCGCGCAACCTTGATATCTGAAACGCTTATGTTATTTAAGAACTAAAACGACTTTGGGCTGAAATGCCCATGTTATTAAAGACTGAACAATTTAATTTAAATTTAGTGTTGCATTGTTTTTCAATTGCGGACGAGATAGTTAATTAAAAGTTGCTTTAAACACGGTTTCAGAGTGACATCGAAAAGTCAGGATCAGATATTACGAAGTCAGTCATATGGAAAATACCAAAAGGTATTTTTCTGTTCTACCTTTTACGACACATTAAGCTGACAATACTTTGATAAGATGAGCCCTCGCGGTGTGATGATGTTAATTTTGAGTGGGATAAGTCAAGAGTTTCACACTTGACAAACATATATATTACGCATAATTAGGGTACAAGTTCAAGTTCTTTATTAACTTTAAGTCTTGCGGTAGGACTTTGGCCGCTTTCTTAAGTGGGCTGTAAATTCCAAATATGAAAACGTAACATCAATGAACAAGGCCGTGATTGTTTTAGACCGGTGTATTGACTAAAATTATCTAAATCCATGACATGTAATGCAAAGTTTACAACATAATTGGGGACAGATTTCGTCCGTGTATGGCTTGAGATATAACCGACATTGATCATTCGCGTTAATCCGAAAATGCAAAATTGTGTTTTAACTTTCGCCTATCAAACCTTAATTAGAAAGATTTTTACCGTGAATTTGATATTATTTTTATAAAAACATTTTGGTTTAGCCGCGCAACCTTGATATCTGAAACGCTTATGTTATTTAAGAACTAAAACGACTTTGGGCTGAAATGCCCATGTTATTAAAGACTGAACAATTTAATTTAAATTTAGTGTTGCATTGTTTTTCAATTGCGGACGAGATAGTTAATTAAAAGTTGCTTTAAACACGGTTTCAGAGTGACATCGAAAAGTCAGGATCAGATATTACGAAGTCAGTCATATGGAAAATACCAAAAGGTATTTTTCTGTTCTACCTTTTACGACACATTAAGCTGACAATACTTTGATAAGATGAGCCCTCGCGGTGTGATGATGTTAATTTTGAGTGGGATAAGTCAAGAGTTTCACACTTGACAAACATATATATTACGCATAATTAGGGTACAAGTTCAAGTTCTTTGTTAACTTTAAGTCTTGCGACAGGACTTTGGCCGCTTTCTTAAGTGGGCTGTAAATTCCAAATATGAAAACGTTACGTCAATGAACAAGGCCGTGATTGTTTTAGACCGATGTATTGACTAAAATTATCTAAATCCATGACATGTAATGCAAAGTTTACAACATAATTGGAAATAAAAATCATCAAACATGTCTAATTATGCTATAATAGACATACAAGTTTAGAGATTATGTAATATTTCGTGGTTTCCTTTTATATTTCCTTCCGACTCAACTGTTTCAACGCGATGTCTGTGTTTTGAGTATTGTTACGGGAACGAGGACCCGGACTTCTAGCTTTCTTCTATCGAATCCCGCCCCTCTGACTCTTGTCCCCTTGACGGATTACGAATTACGACCCGGCTCTCGCCCAAATAACTTCGGGAAGAGACTTGATTTACCAAAACGAGGAGTCGCACACAGCTTCCGTCCCTAATAAGACAAAACAAGTTTAAACAAGTCGACATGCCCAGACAAAACAAAACGGTTGCTAAATCTCAAAAGGGAGGGTTTGGGGTGTTGTGATGGGGTGGGGGGTTCGGGTCCTCCCCGTCCTTAGCCCCAACTCTAACCCCTTGGACATTCGTGTGCTATGTTTAAAGTGACCGATTCTCTGGTCAGTTTGGTAGATGTGTATCAGGGATCAATACGGATTACTGACAATATCTTCCTGATTGACCAAACGTGTCCAGTCGTTACGGATTACGGACAAACAACTCCATTGCCCGGCCAGATAACTGAACAGTCTTATCCTATATTTTCATTAGTGTCACCGGACAATCTGTTCCCCGCCATAGCGAAACTCCTCAAGATAAATGCTCAGTTTTATTTAATCTATAAATATATCCAATTTTCATTTATTTGATAATTTTCAATCGTAAAGTGGTTTTCTTGTATTTATTTATTTTTTAGCCCAAGTCTGGTATCTAATTTCTGTAGAAGTTTAGCAAAGTTTATTAGAAACAAAGCTCAATAAAAAGTTTATTTGTGATATTTGTGGATCTGCGGTTTTTAAATTAAAACAATGTTAGCTTTACGATGCTTTGATGGCAAATTGATAAATTTAAGCCTGACACCAACTTTACCAAGTAATTTCATTTTTATAATATCAATGTAATGTTTTTTAATCAACAGTATCAAAATATTATATAAAATTTAAACTGTTTGTAAAATATAACTGACTTAAACATTCACGTTAAGATGAGATTAAACTGACAATGCTTTTGAACTCGTGTGTTTTACTGACACCCATTTCACCGGAACTGTCCATATTGATGTACACATATGTAGGTAATTCAGCATAACTCCGTACATCTGTCATGCATGTTTAATGCCCCAAACCATGTGCTTGATAGTCTCAGGTCCAGACTTATTATGGTACTATCCAAAAAAGTAAACTTTTAATTTAAAAAGCTTCTTTGAAAGATGTCGAATCCTCGTCACATAGATAAATGTTGAGGATCGAATTTCACAATAAATTATTATCCGGCCTGAAATATCATCGAGAATATCTTCCGTTATTTAACGAACCTGTCAACGATAAAATTGGATTACACGTAAATTCGAAAGCTAAGAAAATAATATCACACATTTTGTACCGGGAAAATCAACTTTCATTTAATGTAGAAAATGTTTGGCGTTTTCATTCTTAATGCCGACAGTGTATTCTTAATTTGACATGTCAAACGTCATGTTGACACTTAAGAAGTTTACTTAACTTAAGGAAACACGGTATTTAAAATCATTCAATTTCTTTATTAAAAAATCCTAGGTGAATTGCCAGAGATAATTAGATAAACCAGGGTCGTTTTATTTCACTTCAAAATCATTTTGATTCAAGTCAAATGTGATCCAAAGTTTCTCAATCGCCACCTCATTAAAGTTTTCTTCCGTTATGCTTTATAACTAGGAAACATCTAATTAGATGGCAAATAGTTGAGTTAGCGTACATAAAAAGGTTTTTCATTGACGTACGATATCAGGCGCGTTAGTCCGCCTTTTGCTGTGAGTATTATACCTACATGGACGATGCTAATGTCTCCACTCGTCCGACACAACATAATTTTTCGATACTAATGACCACTTAAAAAGTCTTTGAAAGCTCAATATGAAGGCCAATACTTGTGTAGTCTATTACTCTCCGAATCAGTGTATTAACGCCCATTCGCTCCTACCCGGCCCTACAACAATTTTTTATTCATAACCCATAACTCCCTCAAAGGAGTCTTTTCTTAAGGACCCCCTAACTATGACAATACGCGCTTATAGACTGACCCCACCCGGCGGAGTGCAGAGAGTAGATGGGATCTAATTAAAAATCGTTGACTTCCTGAGATTATTCTGCAGCATGTTTTGATCAATTCTGTTAAGTGATTCTTAGCGTCTTTCACATATACCGTAAGCTCCATGTAGCAAATTGTTTGAAAAACACAACCGCAATAGAGAACCAAGCCTTTTACCGAAAGGTTAATATTTCTGAAGCGAGTGTATTGAGAGTGTGTTAATATGGAGTGTTTGTGGCGAGTGAGAGACAGAGAGATATAAAACATGAATGGCGGAGAAAAGACGCGATTAAATCACGCGTACGAATTTTAAATATATCCCTTAGTCCACTACCGGTCTGTAGAAACAGACCCCCATAGCTTATTTACATCGGACATGAGATGTACATTAAATCTGAATTACTCGCCTCGATGAATTCATTACACGGTGAACGACGGCGGCGCTGATTGGTCACGTCCGCGGGGTAGGCGTGGTCTAGAGACAGTGTCGTGGAGGTGTTAGTAGATATGGACAGAGATAGGCAGTGACTGGCGGCCGTGACACATGTGTTTATGTACGCTATATACTAAACATTGATACATATCACATCGCTACCAGGACATGGCACACACAGTTACAATATTTGTGTAGACTTTGGCCCCAGTTATGTAAGGCGAGGATTAACGTGTTAAAAGGCGAGTACACTTCATTTCGTACACGGATCGGTATTAATTAACGATACAAGTAATTCTTAATAAAACGGTAATGTATTTATTTTGCTGTATTTACAGACTGAACCTCCTCCAGATGACATAGGCGGACATGGTGTGTTGAACTTGGTGACAACATTTCGTGGATATTTTACACTAGAGCAGACTTTAAAATGGATGTGGTACAATTTCTGAGTTTGGATTTATTTTTGATATGTGTCTTGTGCACGTGCATGGTCCCGGGGGTAGGGGCGAAGGATGTGGCGTATTTTCTCGCAGAAGAGGAACAAGCTAACTTCTACCTAGGAAATGTTGCTGCTGATGCTGACCTTGCTTCAGAGGCGACTAATCCCGCCGACCTCAACTCCATGAAATACAGTTTTCTTACCCAAAGTAACAACAACGAAGAAAACTCTTTAGTATCTTTGTTCCACATCAATGAGAGACAGAGCTCTCTCTATACCGCCCAGCAGCTAGACAGGGAAAATCTTTGTGAGTATAAGGATGAATGTGTTTTGGAATTAGAGGTGATCGCGAGATCCACATCCGGAAGTCTTTACAAGAAAATCAAAGTTTCTATAACTCTTCTGGATATTAACGATAATTCTCCATCCTTTTCTGTGCCATCTATAACTCGTGATATTTCGGAGGGGTCCCTAACGGGGTTTTACATCCCCATCGAGGCGGCTAAGGACGCTGACACAGGTAATTTTTCGATCCAGTACTACATACTAGAACCCCCATCGTCCCCCTTTACTGTGGGGTACCAGGAATTTGTAGACGGCACCTACAGTGTCCGAATCGTCTTGGACGGGCAACTGGACAGAGAAACCACTAGTTCGTATAAGGTGAACGTAATCGCCCGGGACGGAGGGGAACCCCCTAAAACCGGGGTTCTGGAGGTTATAATTAATGTTTTGGATATCAATGATAATCGCCCCAGATTCAATACCCAAATGTACAACGTCACTGTCAATGAAGACGTTGCTGTAAACACGACGATCACAACCGTGTTCGCTGATGATCCTGACCAGGGTGAAAACGGACGGGTAACGTACAAGCTCAGTCCTAACCAGGCCGAGAAGATCCCTACCCTCTTCACTATTGACGAGTCCTCGGGTGACGTCATCATCGTAGGGTCCCTCATCTACGAGCCAGGCAAGAGTTACACCATCATCGTGGAAGCCTCAGACAACGCCTTACAGCCTTTGATTTCACAGTCTAAAGTATTCATACATGTTCTAGACGTACATAACAACCCGCCAGAGATCAGTATAGACCCCCTCTCTAACACGGAAGATTCAGAGATTCTGGAAAATGCGATATTGGACACTGCTGTTGCTCACATCACTATCTTTGATCCCGATACAGGTAAGAACGGCATCGTAAACTGCTCAGTTGTGAACAGTGACAAGTTCACGTTGCAAAGGTTCGCGGTTCACGAGTACAAGGTTGTGTTGTCCCAGGCTCTGAACCGCGAGATTAAAGACAGATACGAGGTGACGGTTCACTGTCATGATATCGGTACCCCACAACTCAATGCCTCCGCCATGTTTGTTGTGCACGTGATGGACATCAATGACAACACCCCGAAGTTCACGCAACAACAGTACTTCGTCAGCGTCCAAGAAAATAAATCACTCACCTCTAGTGTCATGCAGGTCGCTGCCAATGACTTCGACAACGGCAAAAACGCAGAAGTCATGTTCTCATTGGATTCGGAAGGACAGAAATATTTCAGAATAAGTGAAACATCTGGAGTGATAACTGTTAATTCTGTTTTGGATCGAGAAACTGTTAGTCAGATTTCTTTCTCTGTGTTTGCTGCCGATAAAGGCTCGCCCAGTTTGACCGGAAGTGCCCAGGTGAGGATGATTGTAACGGACGTCAACGACAACAAACCTGAATTCATGGAGGATACATTTGAGTACAATTTGGAGGAAAATAACCACGTGAACATCAATATTGGTGTACTAGTGGCGAATGATAAAGATGACGGGAACAATAGTCAGATCACCTACTCTATCCATCCTAACTACCATGCAGGGATTCCCTTCGCCATCATGCCCAATGGCAGCATCTTAGCCACTCAGGTCATAGATAGGGAGGCAAAGGCAAGGTACGATTTCACCGTTATTGCCGAGGACATGGGGAACCCATCTCTCCGAAACTCCGCGCACGTGACGGTGTTCGTATTGGACGTTAATGACAATAACCCCGAATTTGTCTTTCCGAACGCCCACAATAATACTGTGGTCATCTCCTACCAGACACCGGTCAATACCATTGTGTCCACTGTCGAAACTAGGGATATCGACGAAGGTATGAACTCTAGAGTGACGTATTTCATGAAGGACAAGAACTTTTCTCATATTTTCAAGTTGAATAATCTCTCTGGGCGTATTGTACTGGATAAAGCGTTAACTGTGGCGGATGCGAAGAAATATACATTCGGAATCATTGCCCAGGATAAGGGAACCCCTCCTAGGATAAACGAGATTGCCATGTCCATAGTGGTCACTACTCAGAAGATTGGAGGTGACGTCACACCACCGGAAGTGAATCGTCAGTATTTCCTTATCGCTGTTGCCATTTCCTGTGTGACGGCTGTCATCGCCATTGTCATCATTCTGACCATTTGTCTTATCAAACGAGCTGATAGGATAAAACAGAGGTATTCCGAAACTAAGGATAATTCGGATGGACCTCTAGGGAGACAGGAAACGAGGAAGAAGGTCAGCTTCAGTATCGATGACAGAGCCATGACAACCATGCCCGGGGGTCGGTCCAGCGCTCACGAGAATCACCTATATCCGGAGATACCCGCAGGATCTATCCAGGTAAGTTATTGTTATTTTAGTTGTTTAGGTTCGTTATCTTACCTGTTATCAAGCACGTGATAAATTGTTCTACATAGGTATTACAGCCTTAAGCCTCTCCATGTAATAACCCCGGTCAGGTATCATGTCACCAAACTAAGGATCAACACTAATTTATGTGACCTGTCAGGCCCGTCCATGGGGGAACAATCCTTTTAGTGAAATACGTGAAAGATACAAATGGTGCTATCATAAAACGATAATGATATTATCACATCGTAATCATGTCAACCAATATTGGACAATTACTAAATCCTCTACTCTTATCTTTTGACATAAAAACTTATATATGGCATGCCAATAATCTTTGTTAGTATCTTCCCATTTGTTAAAAAATTCACATATCTAAAATCTATGCTATAATGTCAGATATCTAATACAGGATGTAACTCTGTAATACTGTAATACTGTAACTCTGTAATACTGTAATACTGCAATACTGTAACTCTGTAATACTGTAACTCTGTAATACTGTAACTCTGTAATACTGTAATACTGTCATACTCTACACACATGCACATGTAATAATGAATTCCACCCTATTATGTAACTATCAACATAAAATGGCATGCAAAGACACCCTACACAAACAAACAAACAAACAGACGAAAACATGCAACTGTGTTGACGACCTCTCGTTTGTAAATTTTTACCGTTGAATTGTCCTATCGTCTTCTACATTAGATACACTATCGAACAAAACACTTCTGTGCAATAATAAACACAAAACCAAATGGTTCATTTTATAGTTTCATTAAGACGTGTATATTCCTGAAGAAGAATATATTAGCTTGTTTTCATCTCTGACAGGTGAAAAGTTCAAACCCTAACAACTTCACATGAACAAAACAAACGTTAACTGATATTCACTTCCTTAATCATACATTGTTCTTGAATAAGTGAATTAAGGAAAAGCTTCAAACAGAGAGATATACCACCTATGATTCATTAAGAAAACTTGGAAGTCTATTTAAGAAACTATTTTGTCTACTAAAATCAAAACGTGAAAAACCCACTCAGTACCTTTACAAATAGTTGTATCGTGAAATATCGATACTTACTAATACTATATAAGGCCCAGTTTTAAAACCTTGTCAGTGCTATCCCCTAGATAGGTGATGAGGACTTTAATTGAATACTTACGAGAATTTTTCTCATTTTAACTTCTATCTTGATTTAAAATTTCTGGTCACAGCATTTTACAGGGATAGGTTAAATGTGTAGGCTTTTATGTCGTCCCTCCAGGGTCAGCTAGAGATCGTATCGTGTCCTACTCATCTACCGAGAATGTAGCCATACCCGTAAACAATCGTAATAGATGAGTTAAACCAATTTATGATACATTTAACGTGTACTCTTGATGAAGCTCATCCAATAGCTTATTAAAAAGCATGTCACTCTACCGGTACAGGTAAACACGTATTGTTACTTGTTGAGCATCAAGATGTACCTATGTAATAATATTCGATTCATGTCCATTTCGTTCAGGTATAACAGTTTCAATACCTGAAGTGTATAAAAACTGATATGAAGTTGTGTTCGTTTCCATATACCGTGACGAATATGCCATATCATTTGTAAGAAATATTTTATAGCAAAAATGATTGATGATTGATCATATTTATACATATATACAGTTGATATATGAATTATGGATAATGAATTATTAAAATCACATCCATGTTTCGAATACGATTTTAATTTTCATTGTCGTGAATGTCAATGGAAACGAAGATTTTGTTTTCTTCTTTAACAAGTTTTCCTTAATATAAATATACTTAAGTACATGTATTAAATGCCGAACTGTAGACATTAAAATATACTTTAAATATATTTATTTAAAATAGTTTAAATAACTTCTTCTTTCTTGATGCTTCTATTTATATTCTCTTTGTCAAAACGCTTCCTTTTTTGTCGAGTAGATGTACTAAAAAGACTATTTTGAACGCTTAATTATGAATCATATGTAATTAATTTTATATTGTTAATGAATAATGATAATGGAATTTCAAATACCTATTAATTTAAAGTCGTGTTCGAGCAAAAAAAAAATTGTTTGAGAAAATATCAACAGGTTTAACCATTGAAACAGTTTGCAAACTATTTCCAATGAATTTACAGAATGTTTTAACGATTTGCACAAAAATGAACAAATTAAAAGTAAGCAGCTTAAACTTGTCAAAATATTGTGATTCATGTTGAGTTGATGTCTCTCCCTGTCACCTGATACCGAATGGGTCAGAAGATCTGAATATGGGTGATTATCATGCACAGGGGGATCATATCTGTTGCAAGCAACCCCCTATGATGTAAAACCCACCACCCCACATGTGCGAGGTGTCAGAATGTTTAAAGAAAACACGCTTATAATGGCTTCATTTTGTCCGATTTACTTAAGGTCCGGTCGCGTTCATCGTGACCCGTAGGTAAACAATCCCATGTTTAGATGGCCGAAAAATCCAATTTCTATTAAACGAAGAAAAGAATGGGCTGGAAATTTGAAGCGGAGTCTCATAAATCTCCACCTGCCTCTCGGTGTGGAAGACAATGTGTCTGAATTACCAGGGTGCTTTATCCATTCTGTCCACCCGATCAAGGCATTTCTCATTTATATCCCTATTCACTACATCACATAAATGTCTTGGAAAATGGAGTAATCCAGCCCACTCTCTCTCTCCCCCCAACCCGCTTATTTACGGGGAGTAGATAGATGCCTATCCCGGTGAATCATTGTACGTGGCTGTTATTCAATTCGGCAATACTTCAATCTGAGCATCTCAACCCTCTGTCAAGTTAGGTCCTCTTGCATTTTGTCCAATTATGAACCGTGTTGTACCTTTCTGAAAACACCGGACATCTAAGAGTTTAGAATGTCGTACAAAGAGCAAGCATGATCCACATGTTTCTATTTGAGTAAAAGCTCCATTATAAAAAAATGGATGTCGAATAAACACATTTTGTTTGAGCAGAAGTGCAAGTTGACAAACCCTGAAATGAGTAGATCAGGATGGGTGGTACTTGATGGATGCCTATCGCTGTACCGGCGACTATGTCCCCTTAATGTGAACGAGTGTTCTGGTTTCAGGCTACATGCTCAGGTATTGTTACCCTGCAAAAGAAATAAAACAGAGGGACTTTACGGAACATTCCGACGTTTAGTACTCGTAACTTACATAAAACAGTCTTTCTGTCGAGTCTGTTTTGATGTAGCAATGAGCTTTATAGTATTGCATAATCAAAAAGGTTCGCCGAATTGAATTAAATGTATCAATTATACATAAACTAATGTTAGGGTCAAATGTTTGTGGTTTAAGGTGATATAGAAATGAGTTTCTTCGTTGTCACTCTGGTACCGGAAAAACGTAATTCATCTGGATCACCCAGCGTCCTTATAACCAAAATCGTTACCAGGAATTTACTATAAAATCGAAATTACTTTTTAATGAAGGTAGAAATAGAGATTACACATTTTAAACGAGACCTCGTGCCAGACTGACGTCTGTACGTAATGGTCAAGCCCTGACGCAATGACCAGAGGTCAAATACTTGTAGATTTAATGATTAATAACTATGACTTTCACACATGTCATTGCTGAAAAATGGCTTTCCAGTTCGTACCTCTAAATTGTTGAAGTGTCAACCAAACTTACTGAACCAGATGATAATTATTTTATATATCATTTCTTCACGAGAATGTCTCGCCCTACAAATCCGACAGAGATTCATTCGAGACTCATTACTCGACTTTTCATGGCTAATTTGTGTGATGTGTGGTCATAATTTGGTGCCTAACTCTATTTTTCTTGACAGCGATGGAGATGTTATCAAATACAAACTGTTTACTCTTGACTTCTCAAGTGTTGCTAATTGGAGGCCAGTTCAAATACACTCTATAATTACTCGGATGGGTCAGGTATTCCTTTCACTGTTTACCTAGGGAAATCGAGAGTGCCAGTAGCCAGGTAGTAGACCAGCATACCACGAACCCTGTCTCGTGAGTTATATGGCACCCGTCACTCACACACGGAACATTCCTCGTGCAAAACCCAAAGTATGGCGTCAGACCATGACACAGGGAGGAAGGTTCAATTCATAACTAACTACTAGAACTAAGGTGTTGCCCGTGTGTAGTGAAAATAAATGACATTTTTGAACTTTTTACAAAAAACTTCCTATCCTAGGAGTGTCAATGATTAGCAGACTTTTGCAAGTGTCAACGGCTAATGACAAGGATTAATGTTTGGTGAACATGCAAAGGTTTTTACCGGATTATCCCTGATCACAACGCCTAGAAGCGAACACCTTAAGTGCTCTGACTTCCTTTAAAATCGTACAGATTGTATAAACACGGTTTAAATATGGTAGCTACTGCACTTATAACAGGGCGTACTTAAATCCATAATCTAACTTTCTAATGTAACTTCATTTAAATTATAACTTTACAAAATTCCCTAAGGTGGTTTAGTACCATAGTTTTAAATCCATGGTTGAACATGGTTTTAAGGTTGTTTGATAATACTTAACAATATTGATGAACTATATTACACACTAAATAGTCGTCAGAACACCAACTTTGTGAAGACAAACAATCTTATATTCATAAAATACACCCGTCAGTTGTTCAATGTAAAGATAAGCCCTGTGTCGTTTATTGACATAATGCATATCCGTAGTTCAATGAGCTATATGATATAACGAAGGTACTCAACATTTACAATTAAATGTAACGATCTATTCAGATTGTATCGTCTTTGTTTAGAATTATTATCAAAAATCTCTTATACATACAATTGAAGTAATGTTACGGTGAAAGGATATAGTTTTCATTCGTAAATTTGTCTTGGGACATTGATTCATATTTTTTTTCGATTAAATTATTTAGGAAATATAAAAAAAACACATAAATATTGAGCTTGATTATTTTTTAACAACTATAATATTGGATCTAACCTAGATGAAAT